ATTCCACCCTCAGACGACTGTCGTGTGAAGTTTGCACAATCTTCCCGTGTCTGCGTGGGTTTCCTCCACGTGCAACAGTTTTCTCCCACAGTCCAAAGATGTGCAGGCGCACTGGTCATTCTAAGTTGCCCGTAGTGTTCAGGGACGTGTAGCTTAAGTGGGTTAGAGGGAGATGGGTCTGGGTGGGATGCTCCAAGGGTCGGTGTGGACTTCTTGGGCCAAATGGCCTGTTTCCGCACTGTAGGGATTCTGTGATCTAAATTCTATGAACCCCATCTCTTCACTTCAAGACTGTGAAAATGCATGTATACAAACAGGCCTTCAGACTTTTCAGCCATGTTTCCTCCAATTTCTCCAGCTACTGTGAGAGGCCCACGTGCAGCAGCGGCTGGAGAAACTGGAAGTGAATGTGCCCACATGTCAATTGTCAAAACACTCAGAGTGGATGCATGGCATGGCCATGCAGCTTGGAGGGTACACTGTTCCCAGTACCAAACCCACAAAATAACTCTTAAAAGTGGAACTAAATCCATGTCTTCCCCTTAATAATTTAAAATATAACAAACTTATATATTGTTCCTAACAAACTATTAAAATAATACTGACAAGCTACACAGAAAAACCACATTGAGAAACTGCAGGTAGAAGTCAGGTTGGAGTTAACCTCAGTCATAGCTCCGTTGAATGAATTCCAGTAAAAATTAGAGCTGAGTCAACTTTACAGTGAGGTTGATAAAGACCTGCTGCGAAACATGTTTGAACATAACAGTGTGTAACATTTCTCAGGTGTTGTATTGTCAATCTGAATACCAAAAGCATTTTAACTATTGTTAGAAAGGTCTAGAGTAAAGCTCGTGTCTGACAGAGCTCAGTACCAGAGGTCATTGCTGTCTGCTCTTAAACCAGTCAATTCAGGACATGCAAATATGACATGTCAAACAAACAGCTCCAACTGATGTCTCCTATGCATTTATTGATTCAGTGCCAAAATAATGCTTGTAACATTGAACGTCAAAAGCTGTGTTGTACTAAATTAGAAATACAAATAACATCCAAACTACTGTATTGAGAATAAACATGCTACACCAGCTCATCCTATATTATTTTTATAGTGCAAATAAAGCAATACATAGCAGTAGTGGTGCACATCAATCACAGCATGCTGTGTGCATCCATGGTACAAAGTTACAACTGTTATGTTACTTTGCAAATAGTTTCAGATTGTCTGTTTTACGGTGGGAAAATAATTTCTTTTTAAAAAAATAAGACTAACTAATTTAGCCAACAGTCGCCTCCTGCCCACCACGCCAGAATTAAGTCGCCTCAGGCATCCTGATCCTCTCATATTTGTTAGAGATGCTCAGTAAACATCTGTCACCTCTGTCACTCTGGGGAACAAACATCCACTCTTCCCAGAATCACGAAAGCCATAAACAAACCATGGGGAGACTACTGGCACAAGTTGTCATAATGTCAATTTCAAGCAAAACAACCTGTTGAGCTGCAGCAATTAAAAGATAATTCAACCACATATATTAAGACGTGCCTCAGTGAATAAAAACATGCTGTAAACATTAGTATAAAAAAAACTGGCATGACAGTTCAGGTGTGCCTCAAAAGATCACTTTTAAAGAGATACTTCATAATTAAGCATTGTACAGTGTTTGACTGTTGTGAAATGATAGTGGCATACAAAATCATTAGCAACATTTTTTTGAAGGACTAAATTATATGGCAAAACTCATAAAAGTAAGAGATGCCAACAACTAATAACAGACATACCGACAGCAATATAAAGCAGATGTTGGAAATCCAAAATAAAACAGAAAATGTTGGAGAAACTCAGCAGATATGGCAGCATCTGTGGACAGAAAACAAAAAAAGAGCTAATATTTCGAGTCTGATACGACATGTCTTCAAAGCTATTTCTCTTTCCTTAGATGCTGCCTGACCTACTCAGACACCAACACCCGGTCTTGCAAAGTAAGGATCCACTAAAACTGGATAACCAACTTATCCAAAAGCAAGTAGAAACCTGATCAAGACTAAGAGCAAGAGGCTTATTAATGTTCAATGGCCTATAAACAGTTAGTAATATGGATAAAAACAGGGAGTGCCACAAGGATCAGTGCTAGGACCACAATTACTCAGAATAGATATTTATGACTTGGACAAGGAAAGTGAAGGAACTATCACCAAGTTTGCAGATGACACAAAAATAAGTGGGAAGACGAATGCCGAGGACGACACACAGTCTGCAGAAGGATACAAATAGGTTAATAAGTGGACAAAAGCTTGTCAGATAAAATACAATGGGAGAAACTGAGAGATTTTGCACTTTGGCAGGAAGAAGAGAAGCGGAGTATTATTTAAATTGAAGAAAGCTACAGCACAGGTGGATCTGGGAGTCCCGATGCCTAAATATCAAAAAGCAAAAATAAAAGTTCAACAGGTATTGGGGAAGGTTGTGCAAGTTGGGCCTGTACTACCTGAACTCATTGGAAGATAGAAGAATGATATGACCTTATTGAAACATAAGATTATTGGGGGACTTGACAGGATAAATGCACAAGTGTTTTTCTCCCCTCCCTCCGACTCTGAGACTGTCTAGGACCACATAGAATAATTTTAAAGTGACAGGTTGCCAACATAAGACTGAGATGAACAGTAATTTCTTCCCTCACAATAGAGTGACTCTGTGGAATTCTTTATTGCAGAGAGATGTAGAGGCTGGGCCATTAAGTATATTTTAGGCTGAGGATTTTTTGACCAGTCAGGAATCAAGGGTTATGGGGAACAAGATAAGAAAGTGGAGTTGAGGATTATCTAGATTAGCCACGATTTCATTGAGTGGAAAGGAAGACTCAATGAGTTGAACGATTTACTACTGCTGTTATGTTTTACGGCCCTATGAGCAACTAGTGATGTTTTTAGAGCGCAATAATATTTTCAGGGAGTCACTATGCAAATGCAGGCCTGGATCTCAAAAGAGCTGAAATACAAAACAGTAAAAGTTATGGTTTAGGTGCATATAGCTTTAGTTGGCCTGTGGTTGGAGTAGCAAGTTCATTTCTGAGCACCATGCCTTACAAAGATTCAACTGGCTTTAGAAGCTACACCGCACAAAGATCAGAAAGACGCTGGCACCAAAAGGGTCAAAGAGAGACTGCCTAGACTAGGTCAAAATTCCACTGAGTATAAAAGATTTACAGGACACCTAATTCAGGTGCTTAAAGAAATTTATAGGGTAGATTAAAAGAAACAATTACCTCTGTGGGGCATAAACTCAAAATTAGAGGTAGACTGTTAAGATGTCAGGAAGCACTTCTTCAGAAAGTGCAGTACAAACCAGGAAACATGTCTCCTACAAAACAGCTGCTTGGAAGGTGGCTGCCACCTCAAAACTGAAAACGTGGAGATCGATCAATCAATTTCGTTACACAGGGGTCTTGATGGATATAAAAGCAAGGCAGGTGGGTAAAAATAAAGATGAGCCACGATCTAATTCATCTGAGAAGTCACTCATTGTTGAGCTTGTAGCAGACTTACCTCTGAACCGCAAGGTCTGGGTTCGAGACCTGCTTCAGGACTAGACCACAGCAAACAAGGCTGATGCCTTTGCTGCAGTATGCAGTGAATGCTGCACTTATGGCATTAGCCACCGTTTGGATAATGTACTGAATCAAGCTTTTGTCTACTTGCAGCAGATGCATTTGTTTATAATTTGAAATAAAAGCAAAAAGAGCTAGAAATATCAGGTCAGGAAGGATCTCTGGACACAAACGGAGTTAAAATTATGTCCAATGCTGCACAGAATTCTGATGAGAGGTCAATTCAATTTGAAACATTCACTCTGTCTCGCTCTACAGATGCTGCCTTCCTGGAGTATTTCCAGCACTTTGTTTTCCTGTCTTCATGTTCTAGTTAACTCAAAAAGAAAACAAAATTGCTGGAAAGTCTCAGCAGATCTGGCAACATCTGAGGAAAGAAAACAGAGTTAACGATTCAAGTCCACAGATCCTTCTTCAGTTCTGAAAGGTCAGTGGACTTGAAACATTAATTCTGTTTTCTCTCGACAGATGTTGCAACACTCGATGGGTTTCTCCAGAAATTTCTGTTTGTTTCAACCCATGTCCAATCTAGCTGTCAGACCCAGCCCTGCCTAAATCCAAGTTCTGAGGAAGGGTCACTGGAAGTGAAACATTAACCCTGACTTTTCTTCACAGATGCTGCCAGACCTGCTGAGCTTTTCCAGCAACTTCTGTTTTTGTTCCAAACCAGCTGAGACCCAGTCTAAGTCAATAGAATCATACAGTACAGAAGAGGCAATTCGGTTCATCAAGTCTGTACTGCCAAAAATATAACACCAGCTACACTCGTCCCACGTTTCCACACTATGCCCATAGCCTTGAATGTTATGACAGTTTCAAGTCCCCATCCAAGAACTTTCAAAAGATTGTGAAGATTCCCACCTCATTTATCCTCCTAGGGAGTGCATTCCACATTTCCACCACCCTCCAAGAGGGAAAAAAAAGTTTTCCTAAATCCCCACTAAACATCTTGCCTATCTCTTTAAAATTATTAAAGAGTGGCTCAGTGGTTAGCACTGCTGCCTCACAGCACCACAGGGACCCAGGTTCGCTTCCACCCTCGGGCGACTGTCTGCATGGAGTTTGCATTCTCCCTGTGTCTGCGTGGGTTTCCTCCCACAATCCAAAGATGTGCAGGCTAGGTGGATTGGCCATGCTAAATTGCCCGTAGTGTTCAGGGATGTGTAGATTAGGAGGATAGGTCTGGGTGGGATGCTCTTTGTGTCGGTGTGGACTTGTTGGGTCAAAGGGCCTGTTTCCACATTGTAGGGATTCTATGATTCAGTTCCAGTCCTAGCCCCAGACCTAGTTCCAGTCCTAGCCCCAGACCTAGTTCCAGTCCTAGCCCCAGACCTAGTTCCAGTCCTAGCCCCAGACCTAGTTCCAGACCTAGCCCCAGACCGGACCCACCAGATGTCGATTTTGAGGCCGTTGGACACCAGGAACTGGATGGAGTCGACATGTCCGCAGAGGTGCAGGGCGGTGTTGCCCTGGTTGTCGGTGGCCAGCAGGTCGGCCCCGAACTTGTGCAGCAGGCGGCAGATGTCGACGTTGCCCCGGGCGGCGGCTACGTGAAGGCCGGTGCGGCCTCGGCCGTCACGGATGTTGGGGTCGAAGCCGCTCTCCAGCAGCCGCTTGGCGTAGGCGAGGTCGCCGTCGATGCAGGCCTGCAGCAGCGGCACCCCGGTCTGGCAGGAATCGTTAATAAATACGTACGACATGGCAGCCTTCCACACCTCCTCCTCCTGTCCCTCTGCTGACTGCCACCTCCCCCCACCCCCGGATCCCATCAACCGCGCAGGCTCAGAGCACAGGACGGCAGCAGCAAGAGGTCAAACTTAACGCACGTACCGGCACTCAACTGTTTCGTCTTTCCATCCAAAAGGAGGGCGAGAAAACAATGAGACTATGATCCCAGTGGGAAAAAAATATATAACTTTACACTCAAAACCCACGTACAGGGCTTATATACTTGGTCAATTACCCTCATTGTTGTTTTATTATCAAAACCAAAAGAACTGAGGATGCTGTAGACCAGGAACTAAAACAGTAGTTGCTAGAAATGCTCAGCAGGTCTGGCAGCATCTCTGAAGAAAATCCTTCCTCACTAACTAAGGATCTGTTATGAGGAAGGACCCGAAACGTTAACTCTGATTTTGTTTCTTCACAAATGCTGCCAGACCTGCTGAGCATTTCCAGCAACTTCTGTTTTTGTTGTTGTTTTACAGGTTCTTCAGATATGGGTGCCAATGGCATTCATTGCCTATTTCTAATTGCTCTGGGGGTAAAGCTGGGTGAGCTAACCTGAGGTGCAGGGATACCCACAGTGCCATTAGGGACGGAGTTCTAGGCTTTTGACCCAGTGACAGTGAAGGAATAGCAATGTGGTTTCAAGTCACGATGGCTACGGATCTTAAGGTGCAATGGTAGTGTCCCTACCTCTGAGCCAAGACATCTGGGTTCAAGTCCCACCTGCTCCAGAGGGTGTGTCATAATAAACAAAAACAAAAAATGCTGGAGGAAACTCAGCAGATCTGGCAGCTTCCATGGGGAGAGTAACGGAATTAACATGGAATGTCTCTTGTGGTGCAGTGGTAATGTCGCTAAGTCTGGGACAGAAACTCTGGGTTCAATTCTCACCTGCCACAAAGGTATGTCAGAATAGCTTGACTGAAAATCTCTCCAAGTCACAAAGGTGAGGGGAACTTGCAGGTTAAGATGGTGTTCACAGACATTTGCTGAACTTTTCCTTCAGAGGTGCTAGAGGTCTCAGGTATGGAAGGTACTGTCAAAAGAGGGTTTGCAAAGGTGCTATCGAAGAAGAACCTGCATTCTGAAGAAGGGCCCCTGAACTTAAAACATTAACTTTGTTTCTCTTTCTACAGATGCTATTTTACTCTTTGTTTTAATCTGGGTTTGGAAGGCAATGTGGAAGGAGGATGCAGGTTAGGAAGTTTTTTTTTCTCTCTGGTCATAGGTTTTATTAAGACTGACGAGTATTTAGAATGACATTCAAGTGCATCCAAAACTTTGGCACTTAACAGAAGTCAGTTCCTTGAATGTTAGAATGGTTTACAAGAATGTTTACATGTATCACAGAGGCAGTCTTCAGTCAACTTGATTAACTCCATGTGATGTCAAGATATGGTTGGAGGCAGTGGATACTACAAAGGCTATGGAGCCTGACAACATTCTGTAATGCTCCAGAACTTGCCACTCTCCTAGCCAAGCTGTTCCAAGATAAACAACACTGGCATCTACTCAACAATGTAGAACATTGCAGTACAAATACAACTTGGCCAATTACCACCTCATTTGTCCACTCTCAATCATAAATAAAGTGTGTCATCAACAGTGCTATCAAGCAGCACCTGCTCAGCAATAACCAGCTCAGTAATGCCCAGTTTGGGTTCCACCAGGGCCACTCAGCTCCTGATCTCATAACAGCCTTAGTTTAAACATTGAAACAAGAGCTGTTTAAGAGTGACAGCCCTTGACATCAAGGTTGCATTTGAATGAGTGTGGCATCAAGGAGCCCGAGCAAAACTGGAATCAATGGGAATCAGGGGAAAATTCTCCACTGTTGGAGTCATACCTTGCACACAAGAAAATGGTTCTGGTTGTTGGAGGTCAGTCATCTTAGCTCCAGAACATCTCTGCGGGAGTTCGTCAGGGTAGTGTCCTAAGCCCAAACAGTTTCTCCTACTTTATCAATGACCTTCCCTCCATCATAAGGTCAGAAGTGGGGATGTTCACTTATGTCTGTTATCTGCATCCAGTTTAGGACCTTGCCACTGAGACCGATGGGCCCTGAGCTGGTATCATGTTGGTCACTGTGGCTGCCTACCTGAGAAAGCAAAGACAAATGCAGGAGAATGATGGCAATGGCTAGCCGAGGAGCAGCAGCAGCAGGCCAGCTCAGAGAGAGGTCACAGCCACAGGATCCCTCAGGATATGTGGGCTGCACGGGAGGCAACTGCATTTCCTGAATTTGAGCAACGTGCAGTGCTGAGGCAGGCTCCATTTGTCTCAAGGGCACGGAGATGGAACTGTTCAGGATGCTGCAGGGGGCCTGAGGGCTGCAGGAGTGGGAGGCCATCTTCTCCCATTAGCTGTTAAGGTCACTGTAGCATTGAACTCCTAGGTGACCCGCACCTTCTTAGGGAGCAAGACTATGTTTAATCTCTCAGTTGGGCACCTACAAATGAGTTTGGATGATGATAGAACAAAGAACAAAGAAAATTACAGCACAGGAACAGACCCTTTGGTCCTCCAAGCCTGCACCGACATGCTGCCCATCTCAACTAAAGCCCCCTACCCTTCCAGGGACCGTATCCCTCTATTCCCATCCTATTCATATATTTGTCAAGACGCCCTTTAAAAGTCACCATAATATCTGTTCCCACTACCTCCCCCAGCAGCGAGTTCCAGGCACCCACCACAATTTGTGTAAAAAACTTGCCTCGTACATCACCTTTAAACCTATGCCCCCTAGTAACTGACTCTTCCACCCTGGGAAAAAGCTTCTGACATGTCCACTCTGTCCATGCCCTTCACAATCCTGTAGACCTCTATCAGGTCACCCCTCAACCTCCGTCGTTCCAGTGAGAACAACCCAGGTTTCTCCAACCTCTCCTCATAGCTAATGCCCTCCATAGCAGGCAACATCCTGGTAAATCTTTTCTGTACCCTCTCCAAAGCCACCACATCCTTCTGGTAGTGTGGCGACCAGAATTGAACACAATATTCCAAATGCAGCCTAACTAAAGTTCTATAAAGCTGCAACATTACCTGCCAATTTCTAAACTCAGTGCCCTGGCCGATGAAGGCAAGCATGCCGTATGCCTCATTGACTATCTTCTCCACCTGCGTTGCCACTTTCAGTGAGCTGTATACCTGTACACCCAGATCCCTCTGCCTATCAGTACTCTTAAGGGTTCTGCCATTTACTGTATTTTTTCCATCTGGATTAGACCTTCCAAAATGCATTACCTCACATTTTTCTGAATAAACTCCATCTGCCATCACTCTGCCCAAGTCACCAACCAATCTATATCCAGCTATATCCTTTGACGGTCCTCATTGCTATCCACAATTCCACCAACCATTGTGTCATCGGCAAACTTACTAATCAGACCAGTTACATTCTCCTCCAAATCATTTATATGTATTACAAATAGCAAAGGTCCCAACACTGATCCCTGAGGAACACCACTAGTCACAGCCCTCCATTCAGAAACACACCCTTCACTGCTACCCTCTGTCTTCTATGACTGAGCCAGTTTTTTTATCCATCTTGCAAGCTCACCTCTGACCCCGTGCAATTTTACCTTCTGTATCATCCTGCCATGAGGGACCTTGTCAAAGGCCTTATTGAAGTCCATATAGACAACATCCACTGCCCTACCCTTATCGATCATCTTCGTCACTTCCTCAAAAAACTCAACCAGGTTAGTGAGACACGACTTCCCTTTCACAAAACCGTGTTGCCTCTTGCTAATTTGCCCACTTATTTCCAAATGGGAGTAAATCCTGTCTCGAAGAATCCTCTCCAATAATTTCCCTACCACTGACATAAGGCTCACTAGCCTGTAATTAGCTGCATTATCCTTGCCACCCTTCTTATACGAAGGAACAACATTGGCTATGCTCCAACCCTCTGGGACCTCCCCTGTAGCCAGTGAGGATACAAAAATTTCCCTTAAGGCCCCAGCAATTTCCTCCCTTGCCTCTCTGAGCTACTGCCATCTGTACAAGGTTGCATAGGTTCATGTTGTTCAAGGTCAGTGCTACAGCCTGGGCAGTGGATTCAGGAACAGAGCTATATCCCCCCCAAGTGCAGGGTGATATGGCCTATACACATATGGCACTGAGACAGCCACACCAAAATGCTGCAGATTCTAATAATGTTCAGGTGCTCTATGATCTCTGGTGCCAGTTACTGGAGGTGTTTGACCTACACTGGCAGCTGCCATACTTTATACATTCTGGAGAAATTGTGTGATCTGGTGCATTTTGCAGTCCAGGTGTCTTAAGGCTGTTTACTGGGGGACAGGAGTTACCATGGATGATGGCACCATTGTGCAACCCCCCAAAAGATGTGGAGCGCAGAGTTAATATCGCCCTGGGCTGTGGTGGTGCAGAGTATTGGGCTTTTGAGGTTGCCGTTCTGCTAACTGGATCAATCTGAGAGTATAGTCTGGACAGAGTATGCTGCATCATCTTGTACTGCTGTGCCGTGCACATTTGGAGCAGGCAACAAGGTGATATCCTGAATACTGAGGAACTGTGGGAAGGGAATGAGTCTTCCAAGGACAAGGACATTGGGATAGAGGAAGTTGACATTTTCCATGACAGAGCTCAGTTGCTTCAAGTGCAGTGTGAGGGTGGCATGGTGGCTCAGTGGTTAGCAGTGCTGCCTCAGAGTGCCAGGGACCTGGGTTCAATTCCAACCTTGGGCACCTTTCTGTGGGAAGTTTGCACATTCTCCCTGTGTCTGTGTGGGTTTCTGCTGGGTGCTCTGGTTATCTCTCACAGTCCAAAAATGAACAGGTTAAATGGATTGACCATGCTAAATTGCCCTGCAGTGTTTGAACAGCTAGTGCAGGTGATGATGGACTAAATGCCTTCCTTCTAAGCTGTAACAATTCTGTATTATCAGTAGAAGATAATTATTTTGATATTCACTCACAGGATGTAGGCATCTCCGGCTAGGCCAGCACTTCTTGCTCATTCCTAATTGCTCATAAAGCAGTCAAGAGTCAATCGTGTTGCTGTGGGTC